CATGAATTTTGCCCAAAATGTAAAGATCGCATATCTCGTCGAAATTCCTCCGTGAGCGCTTGTACAACGCGCTGATCAAATCCTTTCACATTTTTATTTATTTTTTTATTTATTCTATACGCTCTTGGCGTTCCATACAATAGAATGGAAAGCAGTCTTTTATACTCTAACCGCAACGATAGTGCATCATTACTTAGGTCTAATCTTGATAAAAATGTGATGAAAGGTTGTATTTGACTGCTCTATGATTATAATTATCGGAATTAAATGATCGATTCATGGAGATGTACCCATGCCCCCTTTTGTCAGCAGAATATTTTGATTTTAACAAGCAAACAAGGTTTGATGGTGGGTATATTATCTGACCCCACCAAACCAGTAAACCAGTGTGAGCCAGTGACTCCAAGTGAATTTCAATAAGGGTTGTAATGATGGATAACTCATACGTGAGCGTGATCAAGTTAGGTTATTGTAATCTATGGAGATGGCAATCATGTCAACTCATTTGCCAGCAGAAGATGCTCTTGCAATAATGAAGCAAAGCGGGGCTCGGTTGGTGCAGTAATACCAATCAACCTTGCCCAAAAGATTCCGGGGAGAGTCCAATGACTCCGAAAGAATATCGAATATTTCACTTTTTTTCAGTTCATTTGAGAGCAAGTCAACAAGCTGTAATGATTGGGAAGAGAAGTAAATTGATTAGACCTGAACTAACGTAATAGCAACATAGGGGTTACTAAGACATTTGAAAGAAAATAATATTTAAAAAAACACAAATCGATGGTTGTATTTGGTATGCATTTTGTGGTCGGATAATGTAATCATACATGGTCAGCTATGGCAATACAGATGACGAATTGGTGCTATTCATTACTCATTCTCAGAATGCCTCAAACGTAAGAGATCAAGTTGATCTTGCGTTCAAAAACATTCGTGCTCTGAGACTGTAAAGTATCTGGAATCTTTTAATGAATCTTATTGTGTTAGATTTGGTGCTTTGAGCTCTAGCCACGAAATAGCTTTGATATTTAATTGAGCAACTGAAGCAGACGCAAGCACCATATTCAGTACAGTGGGGTCGTTCGACGAAGCGAACATAATACTGCAACGAGCGTCATACAAGCGCTCACGGAGGAATTTCGACGAGATATGCGATCGTTGTATTTTGGGCAAAATTCATGAGAACGTGTTTTCGTAGGCTCGTAACTCGGCGAATTTCACAGACTGGAGCCTGAGTAATACACCATTCGATAGCATAATTCCTAGTAAATTTGAGTGATAAAAGCAAGCAGGCAAGGTTTCTGACAGATACGCGAGAAGTGCGGCCAAAATTACGCACTTTCGCGATGCAGTTACAGTCACCTCACCGTATCTCTCCAAAAAGACGCTGTAATCCTCAAAGACCACGACTTTCGTAAAGAGCGTGTTCGAAAACCTCTATAAGCGAAGTTTCCCTACAATTCAAGAGCATCAACATTTTGACCAAAATCCATCGGCGAGCTTCCGGAGCGTAAAACGAGAAAAAATGGAATAACCCGAACATATCGGAAAACTTGCTCGTAGAGGTTATGCGACCTGCTGATTTCGAAACTCACATTTGCTTAGCAAGATAGCTTCGTGTTCTGCGGATATGGCGAGTAGAATTTGAGACGACAAGATTTTTCCACAGTTCACTCGCCGTTCCACTTCCTTTGAAAAGAAACCTGCGGCTACTATCTAGCACATTATAATCTACAGAAAAAAGTGCTATTGAAATATCCTTGCTGGAATGTACTCCGGACAATGCTCGCTGCTTTACACCTTCGCGAAAAGACGTCCTCAGAAAGATTCAAGAAAACTGAAATCGAAATATCAAGGACATGCTGTACATGAGAAGATTCGCCTTGATGAGCTGGGCAAGGCGCTGCTTTCGGATTAGAAATATACTTGTTCCGAAGGAAGTTATGGCGAATAGAATTTAAAAGCGCGTAATTTTTCCAAAATTCACCAACGCTTCTATCTCCTTTGAGAAGAAGTCTGAGCCTACTTTTCAGCGCAGAATAATCCACAAGAACAGTTTATCGTATAGTACTTAGTAAAGTCTTCTATGTTGGGTAGGCGTTGCTTCAAATATTCGCGAAAGGACCTCCTCAGAACAAATTGAAAAAACTGAAAACGGAATATCGAAGACATCGTACCCCCACTCCCAATATATCAGAAGATTCTCCGCGCCGAGCTGAATCGAATGGTGGCTTTGGATTCAGAATTCGTCCACTCTGAAGCGAAATATGGCCACGCGACGCTGATGTATGGACATGTCCATACATGTATGGACATGTACGGACATGTACGGACATGTCCATACATTCGCGTCTATTTTTCAAAAAATGTGAGCGGTATTGTATAAGTAGGTCTGATATCAATTTAGGTTTGGGTTTTCGTTGACAGTACAGCTTCGCCCGATTCGATGTTTTACAGAGGCAAATCATGCGCTATCTAGGAATGCTTAGAGCGAACTATCGCTAGCATATCGCGGCGATATTATTCGTTATAAGCACACCTGCATTGTAAAACTTCAAGCAAATTGTAGAACCTGAAAGGATTTGGAGTCTAGATTCAATACGGTTTTGGCGATTCATGTAAAGTCTAGCTTGATACGGTTTCGGGACCCACACGCACAACTTTAAAATGGTCTATAATATCTTTCCGTTCCATTCTTGCTACTTCTGTTGCAACCTATGATCTTTTAATCATAAGCACACACTGCGAACATCATCTCTTTGAGTGCCGTTAAAACACGAGCATAGATCACATTTATCTATTTCATTTAGTGATACTGGTGCACAAACTTATCGTTGAAAGAGCAAGCAAAGAGTAGCAGACAGCTTTTCTGCAAGCTGCAAAACTCTCTGCCCTTCTACAAATTTGAGTCAATATTTGAGGGATGTCTATCTTTGATCGCTTCGAGTGGCGATGTCAGTTGAAAGTATAGTAGTGATGAACGGAATTTTGGCCCCCCACACCTCAGCTCTAATTTCTTCAGAAGGGGCCACATTGAAGAGCAAACGCCGTTTTCGTGGCGAACATTCCAAAATATAATAACGTAAAAATATGATTCCGTTCTTTGCACAACTCTGTACCCACAAAGGGGCTATCGAGCGGATGGCCCTTGTCAAGCACGTCTTAACACATTGACGACAATGTGACCCACATGGTGGGTCATAGCTCGAACTTCGTTAAAATCTCTTCTTCTTTGTTACAAAGTCACCTTAAGGGTTTATTACTCGATGGATCTAGAAATACCTTCATGTTTTTCAGTATCCCCTCAGAGCTGCGCTAGATATATTGTAGGTTACATTTTGCGTAAATTTAGATGAAAATTTTAGATTATTGGTAAAAGGTTTTATCTTGGAAGGCAGACAAGTGAAAGACGGGTTGTTTTCAACGTTTTAATGATCTCAATTCTACGAGTACAGGGCGCAAGGTATTTGAACCAAAATCTGCCACCCCAAACACGCCAAAGGATTTTGCAACAAGGCGGCTGGAAGGCGCGGCTTTGTGCTTAATTAAGGCTTGAGGATGACCAGAGAACATGTTCGCGAAAGAGGCGCAGACTGCGTCGCTCGCGCGAGCGGTCGCTTTCCAACCGCCAATCTCGTTGAATCAAAGGTGTACCTTGCCTAAGCTGCCAACCTTGGTCGAAAGCAGATTCCAGAATCTGCTTTTTAAGCGGAAGCCGCTAACAATTTTTTGACAGATTGATTATGAGATATAGATATATACGTAGCTGTTTTACCCAGCGGCTGAAACGTTCTTTTGTCTGCATTTGGTCGCTATCATGCTGTATCTTATATATAAAGCTGAATGTCTGTTTGTATGTATGTCTGTATGTCTGTCTGTCTGTCTGTCTGTCTGTCTGTCTGTATGTGTGTACGTATGTTCCGAATAGAAAATTCCATTTCTGAACCGATCCGGACCAAACTTGGCACACATACGCTACGGGCCCCGGCGGGTGTCATAGGCTACTTTTCGTCATCGATCGATATCGATTTTATCGATTTTTATCGATTTTTTTGCTGAGTTCACCTACGGGGCTGGGAGTTGGCACAGGGGGGTAATCGAGCATGGGAATTCCGAATACAATATTGGTTTTCAGGATTATCGATTACTTTTATCGATTTTATCGATTTTTTTGCAAAGTTTGAGCTACGGGGCTGGGAGTTCGCGCAGGGGGGTAATCGAGCATGGGGATTCCGAATACAATATTGGTTTTCGGGATTATCGATTACTTTTATCGATTTTATCGATTTTTTGCAAAGTTTGAGCTAGGGGGCTGGGAGTTGGCACAGGGGGGTAATCGAGCATGCTGATCATCCCCAAGGGGGATGATCAGCAATCGGTCAGCATTCGTAATCTGCATGCTCGATTACCCCCCTGTGCAAACTCCCAGCCCCGCAGGTCAAACTTTACAAAAAAATTGATAAAATCGATAAAAGTAATGGACGATCCTGAAAACTAATATTGTGTTCGTAATCAGCATGCTCGATTACCCCCCTGTGCAAAATCCCAGCCTCGCATGTCAAAATTTACAAAAAATCGATAAAATCAATAAAAGTAACCGATAATTCTGAAAACTAATATTGTATTCGGAATCCCCATGCTCACTTCCCCCCTGTGCCAACTCCTAGCCCTGTAGGTGAACTCTGCGAAAAAATCGATAAAAATCGGTAAGATCGACATCGATCGATAACGAAAAGTGGACTGTGACACGCGCCGGGGCCCGAAGTGTATGTGTGCCAAGTTTGGTCCGGATACGGCGGAGCCGGGTAAGCCAGCTAGTTAGTTATATTTTTTCCAAGTAAAGATTTTCATTCGAATACTTTTGAAAGGCAAAGGAGTAAAAATGTTTTCGTAAATATTAATCCAAAATCACCTATTCCAAACTCGCTCGCACGAAGTCTGGTCCTACATGAAATGGACGAGTTTCATTCTCAATGAGATTTTGATTCATAATATAAAATTTATTCAAACAAAACTTCTTGATCACTGATGCATGTCCCTACTTTGATAGTCTGTTGGAGATCGCTTTTGTTGATTATGCGAACGTCGCCCTGGAAGAGTATCTGTTTGAAAGACTGTGAAATTATACGCAAAAATTATGAAAATTTCACCTTTAAAACAACTCCCTTCTCAAATCGTACATCACCTTCTACATTCAACGATTTCAGCTCGAGTATATCCGGATAGTCTTCAAATCTTGCATGGAAGTCATCCACCTAAACCAAATCGTTGTTTTGATTCAAAAATTTGGTCTGCTTTCAGCTCACATTCTGGAAATACTTTCCCAAATTCACTGTAGGAGCTGGACGATTCCTATTCAATCTCAGGGATAACTCTGGAGTTAGAGTGTAGAGATTGGAGGATATGGCCAGAAGATCATCAGATTTCTTTACGGGCAGAAATCTGTTTCGGCCAACGTGAATACCTGGAGCACAGAGTTTGGGCATAAAAAATTAGTGGAGATTTTCACATGCTTGCTGTCATCCAAGCGCTTCTAATGAACAAGCAAAGGAAGCCACCTACAGTATGCTCGGGGGAAGTTGCGGATGCATCCTCCAATAGAAGTCTCTAGCTGGATAACGCCTCGTCCATTCAAATTCTAGAATTAAGAGTTCTAATAGATTGAAAAATGGCAAGTACTCTAATGGTGAATAACGATAGGATTTGGAAGACACGGTACGATTGCTACAGAATAATCCTCAAATAAAGGTTATTTTGCTTCGCTCGTAAAGAATTTAACAATAAGGACTCACTGACCTTCTGATTTACAATGATTTCGCTGCTTATTGTATCCAAACGCTGCTTGACTGCTTGCAAATTTACCCAGATGTTGTTTGTGTTGAAAATTCTGCAAAGACCATTCATTTTGAGCGGCTCGTTCTAGATCAAGGATTTTCTGATCAAAAAGTGATTGAGGCCAACTTACTTGAATGTTCGTGTTGAGCAAAATTCGTTGAGGTGTTCTGGTGGCACTTGTGGAATTTCCAAATGCATTAGCTGACCACCTATGTCTATCAGTGTGCCTCCCTAGAAGCAGATAACATGACTATTCAATTTATCTGAAACCTCCCAGTTTCTACAGTATTTTTCGAAGAAACACCCTAGCAAAAATTCGGTCTTGGATTTTTCGATTTACACGAATTTAGTTGCGTTGAACCTGAATATGAATTCCGTAAATGTGATTTGAATTGGTTTTCTACTCTTCAAGATGGAAACTAAATGAATTGAACGAGCTGAACTATTTCGAAAATATTGCAAATGATCTAATCCACAAATGTAAGTGAGCACGAGATATCTAAACCGCCCAAGTCAATCCCTAGATCAGTTTTACGCTTGCACTTCAGGATTAGCCTCTGCACTAGATTGACAGTAGTTAACCTATGTAGGTACAAAAACCAAACATCTTATAATACGTTGCATCTTGAAGTTTTGCTTCTGAACGATCTCGTGATTGTAGATACAGAACGTCACCTTGATATCGTTTTCTGTCTTCTCTGTACACTCCATGATGTAGTCCACATTTTCATCACATGCAAACTGAGCAATCTGCAGGTCTAAGGTAGCACCAGTATTATCTATGTTAGACACGAACATGATATCACGGCCTAAATCATACAATGTAGTAGCGTTTGGCAAATGTTAAAAGAATTTACAAGAATTTCTATAGCAAAAAAGTTCAAATAATTATTTGCAGCATCCTCTTCTGAAGTGCTACTGCAAGCAATTCACACTTCGAACATCGAACAAGTGCTGAGATTGTAAATCATTCTTTTATCTCACCTTGCCTTAACAGATCGTCCAATACCCCGGAAGCACCCAATGCATGGAATATGTTTCCATGTCCAGGCGGATACCATCTGAAGAAATAAAAGCAATTTTCCCTTTCCAGTCGAAAGTTCTCAAGCCTGACTCACTCCTTATTGGTGCCCGTACCTTCGACTGGTAGGAGGCTGTCAGCCCATATTCGAGGACATTGAGATTGGCAGAACGTTTGTACAAAGCTGTTTGGTCCTAGCTCTTTTTTCGTCTGTTCTTCAGTGTAGAACGAGTTCATGAGGAAGAGCGGGACATTAGAGCCGTGAGTTTTGTTAAAGATCTGCAAATGACGTTCCGTTTCGAAACTGTTATACGCAGAAGGGTTTTGACGGTGTGAAACAACCTTTCAACTGACCTCATGTTGCTTCTTTGCAATATCCAAAAACGACAAGTTCTCCTTAACTTTGATGAAAGACTTTGGCCCATCGCAGCCCATTGTCGTACCAAGACCACCATTCAGTTTCACCACTACAAGGCGATCGAGTACATCATCCCTAAGCTAAAAACTATTAGGACGTCTAAAACAAAATACAAATTGGTTACAAAGTTGTACGAACTAGAAACGTAGAGAGTAAAGTGAGATCAAGCCATTTAGAGCTTTGTTCCACTATTTATTCGTTCATTGCACAAAACCAAAAAATGAAAGGCTGGCTCACAAAAAGACGTAGAACTTATGAGTAGTTTAGTAAAAAAATCAATTTTCAATGCGGCATATCGAAAGTCATCTGAAGTAAACATTTTCCCTAAATATCGTAATACATTCAAATTATCTTCGATGGTTGAAACTAGTCTATTTTTGAGTGCCCCGAAATTCCTCCAAGGGTGGAAGAGTGGAAGTGCGACAGAAATTTTCTCAAACACACCCCTAGATTTTCTTTGCAACAATTTTTAGCAAGGCTATATTATCGATGAAAAATTTTCTACTACTGAAGCACTTTATTGAACACAGTTTTATCAACAACGTAGACTATAACAAGATGCAAATAGTCCAGAAAAAGAATTTCCTGCATGCATCAGATTAAGCTGTAAATTCCAAACTTTCCCACCTTGTACTGCCAAATTTCGGCAGATCTGCATGGTTTCGTTGCACATCGTCGGCAATAAATTTCCAACTATTCCAATCAATAAAATGGATCTCTTCAAGAAATTGACGGTAGAGCCTTCGAAATACGTCGGCTTCTGATGAAGCGATCTAAATGAAGTTAGAACATATATAACAAGATGATAAAGGTGATGCTACAAAGCTGTAACTGCTAATGTGAGATTTAGTAACATTAGGAAGGAAGCAGAAGTGTAAAAGAAACCTTTGTTCTGGCAAAAAACTCGTCCAGCTTCTGCAGTAGTTCCTCCTTTTTTTCAGGCGTGATTTGCATTATTTCAAGAGATCAGAATGATAATAGAAATCTGCACAAAAAGTCCTGCCTCGATCAGTCGGCGGCCAATATGAATAGAGGAACGCGGAGTTGCGCAGTTGATGCATTCCTATGATAATGTCAAGGACAACTGGTTGGCATTACTTCGATTTCTCAAGGGACTTTTTTTGTAGCATTGCAGTCGTTATTGCCCGATAACCACATGCACTCACAGATCGAATAAATATTCTATTGGTTGTCCCACTCCATTTTCAAATAGATTGAGCTGTTTTTGTTTTCCTAACAGATTTAAGGCGCCTCTTGATAGAGCGGAAAAAGCTCTACAAAAATCCATTCAGGTCATAATCCAGGTGAAATTGCGGAACCCAATAATGTATTGGTGGAACTTTTCAGGGGCTCAAAACTGAGGACCAAAGATGGTCCGAAAATGCCAAAATGCCACTTTTTTCGGGTTTTACATCAAAACTTGGTATTATTCGAATGTAAGAGCACATACGAAGGTAAAGTTTTAAGATTATACTTAGTAGGACTTGTAGATACAATGACGCATGTGGGTGGCTGTAAGTGGAGTTTGCCATTTTTGGACTATTTTTTCTCGCATTCTAGGCGCGGGAAAAATCTGATAAAGACGTACTTAAGTATTACTATGTGCCTACTATATAATGATCGAGTTGAAGGTCCGTAGGATTTTTTTCGCGCAAAAGTCCAGTTCCAGGTGACAAAAAATTTTTCGGCTTTGGCTTACTTTATATTAGGTCGTTCCGAAAGTAATGTCGCTTTTTTCAAACGGGCGCCACATTTGATGGAACAAAGGTTTCTAGGAGATCTTGGAGGTACTTGATGCAGCATTTTATTCTCTTTCTAATGGTCACAGTACCATGGCATCATATTCAATGAGCTTTTGAAAAATTACCAAAATCTGCGACCCATGCTTTTTAAGAAGGTCAAGTTTCACAATTTTTCTAAGTTTTTGTAACAACCCTCGCAAGGAGTCCAAGTAATGGATGGATAGAGCAAACCCTACAGGAAACAGCTCAACTTTTTTCTACTTTCCATGGCTCGTCATAATTTTTGTATTGATTTTTTGATGGAACCATTGAGTTTCAGCAGGCTGGTCTCAGACACAAATGCACCAAACAGCAATAAATCTTCGGATTTCAAAACTTACAAAGATGGATTATGGTTTGACACTAATTTTACTAACCAAATGAGCATTCACCGCTTCAGATTAGCAGCTTTAGAAAATTCCGGGTACAGTTCGGGGCGCCCTGGAAAACCTGAATTATGATGATTTTATCCCGGAAAACTTATGAATCGGAAACCAAAAACAACAGATAAAGAGAGGAGAAAAAGCTGCGTCGAATGGCACCCGAGTTACTTGCCGGTTGTTGTTCTGTGAGGTTTGTGTTGACCAAATATGGACTTTGATGGCCTTGAAAAATTAACTCCAGAAACTCAAAGAAGCAAGCTCAGGAAAAGCAAAAAATTGTTTTATGTCCTATAGGGTCTGCTCTATTTATCTGTTACTTGCTCATTTTCAGGGAATCAGTACAAAAATTTGGAAAATTAGCCGAACTTGACCATGACAAAAAGCATGAGTCGCAGGTTTTGGTAATTTATTGAGAGCTCATTGAATACTATGCAATAAAATTATAACCATTAGAAAGAGGGCGAAATGCTGCATCGAATGATCCCAAGAGCTCTTGAAAATCTTGATTCCATGAAATGTGGCCTTCGATTGAAAAAAGCGACATTACTTTTGGAACGACCTAATATATTAGGTTGTCAAGAAAATAATGGCGTTTTTTCGAGTTTCTTCGCGTAAAACTGATATGTACTATTACTCGAGAACTAGAGCACATCCGAGGCCAAACTTTTATGGTTAAAGTTACGAAGCTTTGTAGTATACAAAGGCATATGTGGGAGGGGCCCAGTACTATTGGGGGCGGAGTCTGCCATTTTCCATTTTTCAATTTTTTCTTGGTTTCTAATGGAAAAAATATATCAAATGTACCTATGGATAAGTGCATGGTCTTCTACATGCAGGAGCAATTGAGGGGTTCGCAGGACTTTCTAGGGCGAAAATCCAATTTTTGGCATCATGAGTTACTCATATGTTTTGGCTCTGAACTTTGCCTTAAACAACTTCTGTCATTGTTCGGACGTCATCTTGTAGAGCTTCCTTTGCTCTATCGAATGGTACCATTCACATATTTTTTCAATTCGTCTTATGGCTTTTCTATGAAAAACGACATTATTTTCTTGTAGAATGCGAATTCGTATCCTCAGTGGTCGTTTTGTAGAGCTTGATGTGCTCTATCGAATGATAAACTAAGTCTACTAAGAAAACAAAAACAGCTTGATTTATCCTGAAGAGGAGTTTACTTTGGAAAACCGAATACTTCGCATCGATTACTATGAATATTTGTTATTTCCCCTGACACCAGTAAACCAATGGCGGACAGAGAACAGGTCGCGAACCTTTGAAAGTAGCTTGCATGAATTTACAAGTCTGCAAGTGAGTTATTTTCACTTGCAAATAAGTGAAGTAATTTTGATTTTTTGGAACATTAAATCAGGATCGTAAAAAATTCCGGTGGCCGCATCCAGCGGTTTTTTAAAATTCTTGGGCTACAGACCCTTCTGGAAAGCACCCTACAATCTTTTCGCGGACGGCGCAGCTAACCAGCCTTTTCATTCGAAATGAATCGTGTCACCCTCACTCCTCCAAAATATTTCACGTACCGTCGCTGCTGCCAGCTGTTAGTGGCGTCGTAACTCTGAAGCATAAGCGAAATGGAACTCATTCAGATGTATACCACCTGTATTATAAAATACGTGATAAAAGGTCGCTTGGTCGGTCGTTTGATCCTTCTTTATTTTTCCACTCAAAAAAAATTTACTGAACACTTCCTAGTCGGTTAACTCGCTCCAAATGCCAATTTTTGCAAATTCGACTTTTTTTATAATCCTGTTATCAGCGTGTAGTCTTGAAATGTTCATTGAGCTAATAAAATCACGTAACACTCTACTTATTCACATTTTGAACTAAAAATAACGTTCAGCCGGCGCTCATTTTCCCAGGACCACATGCAACCATTAATTCTTAAACTTAAACCCGAGTCTGATCTTACGCATAAGCATGAGATAGTAGGCTTTTGAACCAAACAAAAAATGTGGAAGATATGGAGTTAAAAAACTTGTTAATCTTTCGGAAAAACCTTTATTTACAGCTTTTAACTCAAAAAGTGGATATGATTCTTGGAAATGATAAAAAACACAGGTGATTTTATTTGGATCTGCACCACTTTAGCACTTTGCTAGCAATTTCTTGGTTTCGTTCACTTTATCTCGTTCATCCTCATTCGCTGGAGTAAGGACCAAAAGCTTGTTGATAGACTTCTTTGCGTTTTCCTGCATGTAAGACCTTTAAATTTTGATGGATCTAAAATCTCTCAGAGTTTACCTTATCATTTAAAGCCAAATAAGTCCGTATAAGCCAAACGAGATTTTCGATCCAATCTGGTTTGAGCTCATATGCAGCCAGAAAGTCTGCCAAAGCCTCTTCCATAGTGGCCACAGGCGGCGCGGAGTAAAGTATCGTGGCAGCCTGATTGAATATAATTCATTGAAAAATGTGTTTGTTTTAGAATTTTAGGATTCCAACCTTCCGTTCGACCCAGGTGAGGCTAGCTACAGAATGAGAGAACCGTCCGCGCATGTGGAGAAGAACAAAGTCTTGGTTGTTCATTTCTAGTGCTTTATCCAGAAGAGCCTATAAAAATTCAGTTTGTCCTCTAAAAATATGATCAAGGTATGTTTGTCTTATAAGCGTTATGAGGGTTTTGAGAAATGTAAGCATCTTGTTCATCGGAAGTTCTGAAAGTTGCTTATCAACTCTAAAAAATTCTGCAAATGATCTCTTCCGTAAACTTTGTAGAGGCAGACATTCCAGTGCCCTAACTAACCCGAATAATAATAATAGTTTTTTACCGATGTTAATCACTCAACAATCCAATCAATACCTTAAAGTTTCCACCCTCTTCAATTCTCTCCTTGGTGCTCATATGATCTGTTGCTGACCCAACCATGATTCCGGCCCATTTTAATGCTTCGAAATCGTCTTCATTCATCTTGTATCCTTCCATAGCGAATTCTTTACCTATACATGGGTTTTGAGCTACAAAGTCACATTTTGAGTGATGATTTGAGAGATTTTGTTACGTATTCAACCAATATGCTATAACAATTCGGTGATTTTGATTTGTTTGTTGCACATATCGTTTGCTGGAAAAATACGACTCTACCAACCTTCAAAAATCAATCCCTTCTTTTTTCCTTTGTCTAGAGTGGCACAAGCCAACTCATGGCAGCACCGTGCCAGTCTTCGAAGCAAATCGGACGATTTGTCACCAGCATCATAACGCTGAAATGCATGAGAGGAATCATTTTTGAAAGTGAATGAAAATAGAACAATTTGCACCTTTTTGAGGATGTCGTATCCGCGTTGGATATCTGGGGTTCCAAACAACTGGTCTATGTCGGCAAAAGACTGTAAGCACAACTTCTAGTCATCGAATCAGTCATATAGAGCAAAAAATTTTATTTGAGAATAGACATATTTTGTAAGTCAAAATTTGTCTATCACAAGCTTCACTCTCAAAAGATCTGCATGGAAAAAATTGGCTTTACGAAGTCTGTGTTTGCAGTCGGTTTGAAAAACTTAGAGTTAATATAAAAAGACACTCACCATCGCACAAGCTTTGTTGATCCGAAAGACTTCTTAAATGAGCAGACCGGTATGGGGCGTACGACCAAATTCTACGATAAGACACTTCGAAACTCCGAGAGCTGAGCGATAAGTGAAACACAAATTATCTATGATTAGGGCTGCACAGTGTTCCACTGTTCAGACCCTACAGATAAAAACGAGAGACTATAGGTAATTGAACATTTTGCTGTGAAGGTGCGCGTTAATTTGACATTATTGTTTTTCTCAAGACCCAGAAAATAAGGTAAGGTTAGCAGGTTGACGGAAGGGGTAGCTCACCGTAACAAAAACAAACTACTATGCTTGATCCATGTGCTTACCAAATATCGTTGCAGAGTATTTGCTAGGAAAGATGTATCTTATTTTGTCAAATTTTTTTGGCCATTTTGTTACTTGTAAACATGGTCGGTCATCTCTCACTCTTCTGGAGCAGTTATGGTCACTCACTTGACAGTGTGGAGTGTTTGAAATGAATCTGCTTTATATTTGCCGTACTGATACACCCAAGGTACTTTCCATAATTTGACATGTTTCTTTGAATCTTTCCATGTATTCATCTTTTTCACCGTACAGATCACCAAAACACTAGTTTTTGTTACGTTAGTGAGCGTCACCTTTTTTATCACTCCAAGAAGCAGCTGGACTTTAGTAGACTAGAAAATCGCTGCAGCTGATAAGCCATGTTCGCATCGTTGTAAATACTACAATCTGCTGACGCAGCTAAAGATTACCATAGTGGGAGAAAAGTTGTGCTGTTTGGTCCCAATATGATCACTCTGCAATGATTGTTGAGTTTTAATGCTAACGTACAGAACAAATCAAGCGATGGGATGTTCCTCTTTCGCTGACGAAGAGCGCTATTTATGTGTAACGTAGCCAAAAAGGCAAAAATATTAGGGTGATCGGAAAGTAATGGGACACCTAAAGAATAAATGTAGTTTTTCAAATAGAGAAATGAATTGAATGTCTAAGTTTTGGGAGATGTTAGTACATACCAAAATCTTCCGATCGAGGACTATAGATAGGCAATGTCGCATAGCGTCCTGTTTAGTGCTCAAGATCTAAGCTCGTCACTTCAAGTAATTTCGAACATGAAGGAGAAACGCCGCAGTAAAACAAGTGAGGCTGCCAAAAATATAAGTGCTGCAATGTGTTAGGGGATGTCACCAAGTCCACAGTAGCCTGATGGTCCCAACGCCTGCAACAGAAGATGTAGCATTGACTAAGCGACGTATTATATATTCTCTCATCAAAGTTATCGAATAGGCTCATCTTTGACGTGGCATCTGATAGATCTGTTCATGCTCTATCCTTATGTACGCAATCTACCTCGAAAAGCCTTAGAAATTGTGGACCAAACACGTTTTTTAGCCTGAAAATCTGCGCCAAATATTGCACTTTTACCTATAACTTGCCTCTTTTATACAAAATGATGAAAAATGATGAAGATTTTCTGCAGGTTCAAGCGATCATTAGAATGAGTTTAAAAAGCACTTTCGGATAGTATGTCGTATGCCTAGGGACCTCAAGTTACCACGGTACAAATTCGGATGGCGTAAAAAAGTCTGACTTTCTTGAAGCTTTGCGCGAAGGATTGTAGGATATGAGCTGCAAGTTGCTGCCAGAATAACATGTGAAGATCACTTTATGCAAATGTATCTTTACTGTTGGTTGTTTATTGAATATTGGAAAAATCATCGAAACTGCGAAAAAAAACCGGTGTCCCATTATTTCCCGATCACCACAGTAATTGTGATTATTTCTTAACCGCTTTAGCCATACCAAGTTCGTTCGGCTAACATTTCTTTTCGCCTTCGTCAAAACCTTGGAAAGAGGAGCATATGGGATTTCTCTTTCCAAACGTCTATCTGCAGGTTAAACAAGAACACGTTGGAAAATTTGTATAGCACTGCTGAGAGAAACAGCCTTTCTGAAGTTAAACTGAGAGACCACCACTCACTGCTGGGAGCTAGAGGTGGATTAGAGCCGTAAGCTAGCCTACATAAGTCAGAATTGACATAGGTTTATGGAGCGAGTTCAATCATTATAGCTATGCATTCTTCTTTTCTTTCCATCTCAGGATTTTTAGCCGAAATCTCAAGCTTGCAACGTTTTTCGCTTTGCTACCCCTTTCCCGTGACAGAATTGACACAGATCGCAAATTCTGGATCATGATGGAGCAGCTTTCGGTGCGAACGTAAAGAAGTGAACGGTTTGCCTTCGCCAGTCCATCCACACGCTCTTTGATCTTCGCGCGCCTGCCGTTTCGACGATATTTCGTCCCACATAGCTTGCAATCTATAGATATATAATTCCAGAACACATGCAGTCCCCGAGCTTGCAAGTCGTAAAGTATCTTGCTCCAAACCGCATGCAATTTGCAACCGCGTGCCTGTTTGATAGGCAGATTATGCAGTCTGTGTTATACAGGTTTATCGAGAGCTCTTTTTGAACCAGACGTGCTCAAGATTAGGACAGGGAATGTCTACAACGCTGCTGATCACTGATTATTGATCTGAAAATTAAATTAGTAAATAAATGTTGTCGTGATTGAACTGTCATTATGCTCGCAAAGTGCAGTGATGCTTTCATCATACATAAATTTTCTAGGTTCTCTCTTGCGATAACTGTTTGGATTGCTTTTATCTTGAATGAGTCAATGTCGGAGGTCCCAGTAGTCAGTGAGGTTTAAATGCAACGCCGGCTTGTTTACAGAATAGACTCACATGGTATCGTCGCTTCGTTGACCGCACGAACTCCTCGAACCCTGCGGACCACGCGCGGCGCGGCTGAATTGTCGCGAGAGCACAAAATTTGTATGGGGGCAAGCGTTCTGCCTCGCAGCATGTGCTCAGAAGGAAGTCGTTTATGACGGTTACAGGCTGGAAAAGCTCATATCAAGTTGTGATTCCCAGTCCTTGCGGTCAGAATCATTTATACATATCATAGCACTTCCAGCAATACTGTGTGGGGAATCATAGAACTTAATTTGACACAACACTTCCTTATTTTGTTGTCTCTAGACGCCACTATGACCACTGGGTCGTTAGTAGCATCTATTTCCCTTCTTTTCGCCACGATTTCTGACACGTGTATCCCCGCACATCTTGCGCGGTCAACAATTAACCTTCCAACTAAGAGCTCAGATCATTTCTTTCTTTGTTAGTGCTTCAAACCAGCTTTGACAGATATCGCGCGTCCTTGCAGTTTCAGCATGCGTCTATAGATTTTGATTTCAAGCTGTCAAAATCGTATTTTTCCTCCGCTCTTCCCTAGCGCCTACAGCGAAGAGGTGCGAAGAAGAGAGGGGATGACATTGGTGGGGGGGGGGGTGGAAAGGGGACGGACTTTTGCTGGATTGGTGATTAAGAGATGACCACCCGTCGAAAAATTCTTTTTACGATATTATCGAGTTTAATAAAACTTTATTTCCAGTTAAAATTATTAGCAAATGCTATTCTGAAACACTTACTTGAGTGTAACTCAGAACGCCGCAAAATGATACCTTTTTTGATTTTCATTCCCGTGTAGAGATTCAGCATATACCTTGAGGCCCGGCTTGTGATGATAGATAGCAAACAAGGAAATTTGCTTTGCATTTCCATACGGTGGCTTTATTAAAGCAACACAATAAACAAGTTTAGTGAATCGAAATTACCAAATTAACGCTTAGTTTCTATTACCTCACAATTCTTAAAGACTACTAACCTATTTTTCTTTCATTTTTCCAAAAATTGGAAGGAGACTCATAGAAAATACTCATTATATATTCTCTGGGAATTCTAATAAGTTCGCTGCTGGGATTCTGGCCAAGTGTACATCATGATATTGGACCTTACAATTGCTCTCTACCAGGATCTGTTACTAAATATATTTTCCGCTCAACAAGTTGATGGAATAACAAGCTCACAAGATGTGAGACTCGTTTCAACTGAATTTGATTTATCACATCTCCATGCATTGAACATCAGTAAAGTAATGTTCGTACGCCAAACCTTACCGAATAATACAGGATTGCGCTGCTAACTACTCGATCTCAACGTATTTCAAAAACAATGCAATAAATTATCTTAGCATCTAGCCAATATTTTCCGAGCCTCTTGCACTCGCTCTTTTTCCTCTTCGTCTATTGGTGTAACGGCGAGCAAGATGTTGCAGTACTTTTTGGCATTTTCCTAAACACTAATCCCTTGTCAGAAGACGTGATGCTTGAAATCTCAATTTTTAACCTTATCATGCTTCGCGAAGTAGATTCGTATTATGTATATAAGATTTGCTATCCATTCAGGCTTTTCCTCATTTGCCGCCAAAAAGTCCTCCAATGCTTCCTCCATAGTAGCGGTGGGAGGTGTTGCAAAGAAAATTTCAGCAAACTGTGACATGTCTTTGAAATATAATACATAAGAAATACATCTTACCTTTCTTTCCACCCATGTGAGGTTAGCGATTGTATATGCAAAGCGCCCACGTGAATGTAGAAGAGAGTACTCTTTGGCATCCATAGCTATAGCTTTATCCAGAAGTGCCTGGAACAAAACATATTATAACACGGCATAATAGAGTTATGCCACAATGGCAAGGGCACAGATTGATTTATGACACAGCACCCCTAACGTACACATTTATTCGTGAAAATACAAGTAAGCATTAAATTTTCAGCTATACTGATGTCTGCCGCTTGTTATTGGTTAAGTCACAACAAGCCTAGCTCGCACTTCGATTTTCAGCAAATTTTTCAAATATTGCTGCCACTTGTACACCACTATTGAAGGTCTAACATTCGCCTTGCTAACACTGTTCAAGACTAACCCCCACAGGACTTCCTAGTCTTGTTTTGAGATCGCGATTGTGGTCAAATCGGCGTTCTGACAAAGATGTAAGTGAAAATAAGTTGAAACTTCGGACTGCCATATGCTTGCCTATGGACCAGCGAGGTACGATAACTGTATACGGTTTCATTTGCAACGAAACGTTTTTTTTACATTTGCATTGCGCACCAACTGAACAACCCACGCAGATGCGCGTTCAAGTGGAAATTGTAAAATTCGAAAGTTACACTTTCATGCCGGATTTTCAATTAAAAGTTTGAGCTCTTATCGCATAGTCACGTTCTTTGTCAGTACATTGCTTGCCTATTACCCACTAATCGTCGGAACGGTTTTGTTAATCTGCTGTGTGCGGAGAGCAGAGCTCGGCACGAGCTGGCACCAGGGAAATTTCAGAACGAAATTTCTTTTGATCTTGATAATCTTATACGAAACCCCCTTTGATCCTAAACCCCAAACGTAAAAAACCTTGAAAAATGATACGATTAAAAAAAACGTCGCAATTTCTGTGTCTTTTCCGCTACAGAAACGACATCCCTTTTGCTTTTGTCCCAAACGATAAGCTTAACTCAGTGCCAGTTGTGCCGAGCTCCGGCGGAGAGTGTGATCTTTTTCATTCGTAGCATGCAAATGAAATATTTATTAGCAAGGAACTGTGTGCCTCTAAACAGAAGAAGTGAATACAATGAGAATGTTGAAAGTTAATTGGCATAGTTTTTTAACGAATTTATAGCGGACTCAATTGAGATTTTTTACTGCACTAAAACAAGTAGAACTGAATGAGAACGGCGGAAATGACGGGCTTTCCGTTTCCTTCAAAATAATTTTCTTCTAACTTATGAAATTGTGATTTATACCATTTCCAATTACCTTAAACTTCGAACCTTCTTCAATCCTTTCTTTCGGACCAAGATAATCTGTCGACAACCCAGTCATGATTGCAGCCCATCTCAATGGGAAAAATTCATTCTCGTTGGCATGATGTCCTTCCAAAGCAAATGCCTTTCCTGTGAAAAACTCTTCAAAAGGTACACTTTCAAGAAGTGATTTGTTGAAGTCCTTCATCGTATTTAGATATACGTCCGAGAAATATTGAAATAGGCAGCTAAATGCTGATCCCTGGCAAGGGCGATCGGTTTACCTTTTGATTTAACAGGATTGGTGGGTGGGAGGCGACCGCTCGCCTGCGATGCCGTCTGCGTCTTTCTCGCCAGCGCTTTCTATTTAGGTTGGTGGAAAAGTAATGGCCATTTGTGAATTTTCACTTTGACGTGCTATAACTTTTGGAAGAATTCACATTTCCGAATGGTAAAAACTATCAGAAGCAGCAAACCTTCTGCAATGCAGCGCACATTTATTTATACTCATATCACGAACGGGCAGAAAAATATGGATTAAAAAATAAAAAAGGTTCTTCTGCTAGAACCTTGTTTTTGACAATTCATATCTTCCTTCAAAGCTTGTTAGTATAAATGTTAAGTAGCCTATCTTGTAGCCGCAAGCCAGTAGTATAAAACGCAATAAAAAGAATTCGGACAGAAAAGTTTGCGAAAAGAAAAAAATTGAAATTTGAAATTTCTCACATTTTTGAACATTTCTTCAGTGTGCCTCAAAGTCCCGAATATAGAATTTCTTGATTTTCTAGGTACTGAACAGCTGGATGTTTTTGCAAAAACTGCCAACAGGATGCCCTAGCCCTACGCTTACAGAATTGAGCAAAGCTCCGGCGATTGACTTCTTCAGAAGAAAATTATGGGTCATAAAATGACCGCAACAGCTACCCATGTTTAGGCGCCGATATCTCAGTCTGGATAGCCTCAAAGAACACAGTCAAGTATGCATAATGTAGACAATTTCTATTACATACAATAGCTAAATTTCAAAGAAATCCCATTAATACGCGCTTGAATTCTGGCCGGAAAAGTGAAAGCAATGAAATTCTGAATTTGGATGCGGTTATTTGAAGCTCAGTAACTCTATAACAGATGAGGATGAGAGTACGTTTAAGCACCATTAGATAGGGCATGGAAACAGCTTCGCGATAATATACTACATCCATTGTAAAGAAGAAGTATTGATGGAAAAAAGTTGCCCTGAAAAAGGTTTGGAAAATCGGCCATCACTTTTGCACCAACCTAATAATAATTTCCTAGCCTTGATTAGGCCTCGAAGCCGCGCCTTCCAGCCGCCAATCCTGTTAAATCAAAGGGTATCCTGCGAAGGTACGAAAGCAATGTTTGAGCGACTTTCATTATTGGAGCTCTTCCTCTCGCGCATGCCTCTCGCACATGGTTGTTCGCTCTCATCTAAGACTGGCGCTCAAAATATGTGATCAGCTTCGTAGTGGCTCTGTGATTGGAAGTTTGTTTTAATACAAGAAGCTAGATTTCTGTAAATCATTAGAAAGGCCCAGAAAATAGTTATGAAAATAGCCTAAACCCTTCCTTGGAATTGACACATAAGGTGTGCAAAGTTCCAGCTTTTCATGCGCTGGAATATGATAGAATCCTTGGAATAGTGATACAAGAGTCGGATGAAGATTCCCAGCTCTTGTTCCTCCCTTACCTCTATTTAGCCGCAGTGCTCGCATGTATGATATAACGTAATACTTCGACTATCAATTCTGAGATTCGCAACTACTGTGTATGACAGCTAGTGATTTTCTGACAAGCTTAAACGATATCATATTAGCACAAATGCTTCCAAAATTTGAAATGACAAAAACTTCGCCAGGGCGCTGCGGAAGGCGTGTGCAAGTGATACCCGGACAGCCGACTGCTGCCGCTGGCAGGCGCCGGAGCTGCCGACGAGGCCGTCGGAGATGGTATAAGTACACTCGTTATCTAAAACCCTTGCCGAGAGGTTTCCTCGCACCTAATTGCGCTCGGGCGGTATCAGCCTTGGGGACAGCATGAATCTTCGATATCCATAATTTTTTGAACAGCAAAAAATTCATAATTTCTTGAGAAACATGCAAACAAATACAAAACCATACCGGAAGATCTCCAAAAAATTACAAACACTCAAAAAAAAATGATTAAACAGGAAATTAAACCCACTTTTCCATGGTGTTCATGGAAAAGTGAGTTTGAAGAAATGGTTTCGTCGAAGAGGTTGTTTGGGGTTATTGGTTTTTTTTCAGTTTTGGATTATTTTTATTTTGCAACAGATCTTGGGTATAAAATCCTTCTTACTATTTTTTTTTCATTTTCTCAAAATATCTGAGGAAGTAATGAGTTTTCCACGTAAGTTGTGCCTGAGGATCCTGTGAGCAACTGCATATATTAGGTTGTCTCATAAGTTTTTTCTTCTTGAGTTTTTACCGCAATAATTCCCATACTTCTCAGTTCTGATTGGAATGCAGGGTACCGCGCGATAGAGCAAAGCAAGCTCTATAAGATGGCGTGTATGTGCTCACACTAGCTTCAGCACATCACGAACTAAAAGCCGAAATCTGACAACTTCCGGATGCTCGAAAATTGAAAATTTTTTATATCTTCTTCAGAGAAGACCTATGGATCCTAAACTTGCTCACGCATATACACTACACATAAGACATTCATATATACGGTTGCTGTGCTTGTTTCTGTACAGAAACCGATAAAACTGAAATTTTTAAGCTTTCAAAAAAGCGATGTTGCACTGTTCTCACATGGGTAGTTGTATACTACAGGCCTTCAGAAATACATCGGTAAACTTTCGGCTTCCTAGAAGCGTTAGTTCTCGAGAAATATTGAATTCAACAAAATACCAAAGCAAAATGAGCTAAATTCAATACTTCTTGGGAACTAACGTTTCTAGGAAGCTGGAAATTGACCGATGTATTTCTGAAGGCCTGTAGCATACAACTACCCATGTGAGAACAGTGCAACACCGCTTTCTTGGAGGCTCGAAAATTTCATTTTCTCGGTTTCTAATACAGAAACAAGCACGGCAACGGCATACATGAATATCTTATGTGTAGTTTATATGCGTGAGCGAGTTTAAGATCTGATAAGTCTTATTTAAACAAAGATATAAAAAATTTCCAATTTTTTGGGCATCTGGAAGTCCTCAGATTTTGGCTTCTAATTCGTGATGTGCTGAAGCTGGTGTGAGCACATACACGCCATCTTATAGAACGTGCTTTGCTCTATCGAATGGTGCTCTGCATTCCAATCAGAACTGAGAAAGTGGGAATTATTGCGGTAAGAATCCAAATATGAAAAAAAAAACTTATGAGACAACCTAATAATAGAAAACACTTTGATTTCTTGGTGATCTACGCTGTTCCTTTTTATATCAGCATATGTGGCTCTCACCTTTTATCACTGACCGACTGCTAGCCTATTTATTTCGCTTAACATCGCTAGATCATAACAAGTTTTAATAGACTAATACTGCTATATCCGTAGCATTCTCCTGTAATTGGTTTCGTCCGCGATGCTAAGAAAAAAAGATTTCTAGACATAAAGATTTCCTGAAATTTATAGCTTTCAGTCATTTCAAAGGTGATTATCTAAAGTAATTTGATTCAATGATGACTGGTCAGTGCTGAGCGAAAGTTAGCAAATTCAAAGATACACAGAAGGTTAAGCAGCGTTTGCGCAGTCCACGCAATCTACCTTCAAAAATCAGCCGCTTTTTCGTTCCTTTATCCTTTGTTCGGTTGGCCAGCTCATGGCAAAATTTAGCGAGCCTCCAAAGCACTTCCGGATCTTTGTCTCCTTCACTGTATCTCTGTGGTTGCACCAAATCACAAGCAAACTTTTGGAATACAAAAGCAATACCTTTTTGAGGGCGTCGTAGCCTGATTGTACGCCATCGGTACCAAAAAGTTTATCGATTTCTTCGAAACTCTGCAATTCAGAGTTTGAGAGGAAAGACATTTAGGGCTTGATGATTTTACCATATCGGATTTTCTTACTGCGTTAAATATAAGCAGTCCTCGATTCGAAGCAGCGGTTAGGGCGAAGAGGCTCGGCGAAGAGTTACTTACTGATAAGGCCTCAATTTGACCGATAAGAACACAAAATCGGAGAACCAAAATTCAGTTGATTACAAAAACGGTGCAAAGAAATAATTTCAAAGAGAAGCGATCTTATACGAGACAGACACTTTATAGAGTGTTTAGAAGGCTGTAATGGACATTAATTGGCTTTTATCATCTCTAAAGAAAGACTTCCTGCCATACCTCCACAAAAAAATACAAAGCCTCTTAGACAATTCTTCCAAATTTCTCGATAAGAGAGAAAAGTATCACCACAGGATCTATAATTTGGAAACTTCGTTTCTAATAAACAACAGCAACAAAAAATCTCGGTATTGTATAGTGATTAAGAATTTTATAGAGAGCTTGGTCTCTTTTTACATCAAAAAGGAAGCAAGCGTCACTTGAGCAGCTCCTAAAACATAGCAGTAACAAAACATTTGATATCGATGGCGTCAGTTCTTCTAAAATTTTGGAACCAGCAACACGCAACCTTCCAGCCACTTTTTTGAGTATTCACTAAGTACTCACAAAGCTTCTTTGTACCACCCTTTCATTGTTTTGCGGTTTTGCTGTTCTTGACGTCTTCCTTAGTCTTCTCGCTTAAGGGCTTTCTTTTGTTAATCTCAGGTTTTCCGCCTCCTTTTCACTCTATCAAACCATCATAGCTTAAGTGTTTTCCTTTGGCTCTCCCTAGCATGTCTACTGATGCAACACTGTCAATGTGTGATCTTCTTCTCTATGCATCAAGTGTCCAAATCATTGAAGGCGCCCATCTTGCACTTCACTGACTTGAAAAATTTCCAAATTCGTCAAATTCGCCAAATTCGCCGATGTCGCCGATGTCGCCACTTTGCGTCTTGTCGCCATAACCCCTTCGTTCTAAATGAATTTCAAATTCAAAGGCAGATTTGGATTCAGCTCGCTGAGACGAATCTTCCCATATATCGAACTGCTGTAATCGGCTCGGTCACTATAAGTGCATGGTAAAAACTCGTTGCATTCTGTGGTGGTGTTTTCCAGGGTGTGTATTTCGGCGCATAATGTAGGCAACGGTTTAAAGGCATTGTCCAGGTCAACTTGAGGGTATTGGGATCTTGACATAGTGTGAGAACACGGCTCCTGACTAACGCAACAGTTCAAGTGCGATCGAAAAAGATGGAATCTGAAGCGAGAAAATCGCTTCGGACGAGTTGCAAGAAGAAGCGGTACTCCAATCCCGCCCCCTTGACAAGTTATGACCAGGGTCAAGCGTGGGGTGTGGCACGCCACACCTGGGGGAACGTATTGAGGAGTCAAAAGGGGAGGGGGTCGTAGTTGGGTAATCTGATAATAGCGATAACATTATATTCGTATCATACCCATAATTAGCACGTCAATTAACCCCTGTATATAAAGTTTGAGCGAATTCTGAATATACTAGGCTACCTGAGTGAAATGGTCAAATTCCAACATGGTTAACTTTGTTTCAAAGGTGTAGCTATCCGTTTTTGCACTCAAGACAAAGCACTACTCCTTCTTTGTCCATCTCAGGAATTCCGCTTCAGAAAACCTCAACCAAAATCTCGTCCCATTTTTCGCTTTTGATCGCTGTGCTTTCACCAAATATTACTCAGAGCAAAGAAAACGAATCAGGCTCAAATCACTCTTGTGAAAACTGGGAGATCTAGTCTATCGATCCATTTGAATAATGTTTACTAAAAATGTCTTTTGTTATAGTTAATGGGGTGCGGCACCCCCGCTCAAAAGCTGCGGCTGCCGCAGCTTTCAAGGGGTGGTGCCGCACCCCATCAACTATATCAAAAAAACATTTTTAGCGGACAGTGTTTATATGAATCGATAGCCTAAGCCTTGTAGATTCCATAGGACTGTTTTGAGCCTGATTCGTCTTCTTAGTTCTGAGAAATATTTGGTGAAAGCACAGCGAACAAAAGCGAAAAATGGGAAAAACGAGATTTTGGTTGAGGTCTTCTGAAGCGGAATTCCTGAGGTGGACAAAGAAGGAGTAGTGCTTTGTCTTGAGTGCAAAAACGGATAGCTAATTCACCTTTGAAGCAAAGTTAACCATGTTGGAATTGGACCATTTCGCTTAGGTAGCCTATATCTTGAATCTTCAGAATTTGCTCACACTATGTCTACAGGGGTTAATTGTCATGCTAATTATGGATATGTTGCACATTATGTCTGACAGGGCTTTCAAGTAATACTATCTTAAGTGTGTATCTCAGGAGGGGTCTTATTAAGACAGCAATCAGGGGGGGAGGGTCGTAACCAGCGATCGTGTGCCAAACCCCTTGCTTGACCCTGGTTATGACGCGGCCAATACACTAGATCTTGACATTCGCCACGTCAAAACTTGTCAAGGGGACGGGATTGGAGTACCGCCCCCTTTTTTGCAAACTCGTCTCGGGTTTTCTAGCTTCAGATTCCACCTTTTTTGATCGCACTTGAACTATTGCGTTAGTCAGGAGCCGTGCTCTCACACTGTGTCAAGATCCCGATACCCCCAAGTTGACCTGGACAATACCTTTAAGGTAAGAAGCGTTTGATGGGAGGGTTTTTGAAGAGTGTTCCCAACAGAGAACCATATGTTTTTTGTGTTGGAAAAAAGAAAAAGGGGTACGTGAACTTATTAAATATACATGAACCACTTACCGTCAAACAAACATAACTGTACAGTAACATTATGATTAGCAAGTAATCAGCATGTCTTGTTGCTTATGTGAGCAAAGTGACGCACCGCATACTATGATATTCCGCTTCCAGCAGACTTCACTTTTTTCTGTGGACGCCTTTTTGCAACGCTGTGGCCCAGCCCCTTTCACACTTAACACGTTGACGACGAACCATTTTTTGGAGGTCTGTTCCTGTGGACGAGACGTTTCCGTGCATCCTTACGCCTTCTCCCATGTATAATGGAACAAATGTGAAGTTAGAATTAAGAATTAGAATGTAATTGCCAAGACACAAAATTTCAAGACAATTTTTCATCTGTTTTACACTATCCGTTTCGGGGCTAAGAACTATACCGGTAGGAAGGCATAAAGTTTAAAAACTGTCAAGACAAATCGGTACATGGGAGATAAAGTCAAAGATACACGGCAATTGATTGCAACCTCACGTTCGAATGAGTGTCATCCCACCGTGACCTCAGAGCACGCTAGCGGTATCCCATGTATGGTGCAGTTCATGTAAAAGAGGCAAAGTATAGTTGTAGCGCATCCTTACTTACGCATTATAAATGGTCTATCAATGAATATGTGGTAAAGTCTATTCATGAAAATATGGCAATCCCATCCATTATTCTTAGATGACATGCTTTGTTCAATTATTCTTCCTTTGAATTGTATGTAATCTGAGCAATTCCTGTATATTCTAAGTACTTCTGTAACACAAATATTAAACAATATGTATCGTGGTATATTAGATCCCCACTGTGGATATCTATTGACCTTGAAATTATACGCATCCGCTTTATTGTACATACTAAATTTGATCTTGTTATCGCAAACTATCATGTTCAAGTCAAGAAAATTCGTTTCAGTCAAACTGACATTGGTTTTGTCTATCTCTAAAGTTGAAGGATATATTTCTTGCAAACTTCGTTCGAACTGTGATGCATCATTAGAAACGTGTAATATGTCATCTATGTATCTATATGTGAAATTATATAATGTATTGGTATGGGTCCGTGTCCTTGTTATCCTTTTTATGAATTCGTATTCCATACAAGCTAATTAAGATCTGCCATTTGGGGCTGCACGAAGCACCTTGAGGTATATCTTTTATCTGCCTATAAATAACGCCACCAAAAAATAAGTAGGTGCACTCTAATATTGAATCTACCATATATTAGGCTGGAAACTAAGTTTTGCAACTGGTTTCATAACTTCACTCTCTTTGGATATGGCGCACTCAAACTTTGGCATTATGTAGAAGGCAATGTGGGCTACAAGTGAGCTCAATTTGTCTAAATTTTGAACACGAAATAAAAAAGTTTCAGGCGTTTTTCGAAAACTAGTGAACTTTGAAAATTTTTGGGGTTTCAAGCTAAAATGAAGCTTTGGCAGCCTAGACCATGCGCAGTAATCCGGATTCGTCTATAAATTATTGCTGGAGGTTGAATCCTTTGGCCTAGTAAAAAAGAAACAAAATTTAGGCGCATGTCGAGATTTGGCGTCCTCATAAAGTCGAAGAGTTGATGTACGCAGCAAGAGCTGCTGGGGACGACCGTCATTGACTAAAGAGTCCGAGGCTCAAATTCCGCCGAGACTTTACATAGTAAGGTTATTTGACCTGCCAAAGCGAATATCACATTCATTTGTTGATTCAACGCCTTTTTCCTTGTTTAGGGTGAGACCCCATATCGTGCACCTACAGTAATCCTACAAAAAAGCCCTTATCACGCAATTTCACTATCGTTTTCGTGATCAGCATATGGGATAACACCCCCTATGCCAAGTTTCAGCCAAATCCGTCAAACTTTGAATTTTTTCCCTTCATACCATGCACCTACCATAACCCTCACTGCGACGTCAGAATTTGGTAGAACAGCAGCTGGGCTTATAGCTTGCTTAATAACCAACGCAGTGGCAAAATTTGAGTGCGCCATGTTAAGTGAGAGGGAAGTTATGAGACCAGTTGCAAAACTTACGATTAGTTTCCAACCTAATATATTACATCTTCAACTTGATAATAATTGCCTTGTGTAATGTCTGAAGTAGCATATGAGACTTTGTTGCCGTACACTTTTATATATTTATAACCTCTCATACATGGGCTTATAATCTTTTTAAGGTTCGTTCTCAAGACATCATGTATGTGGCAAGTTGGTAAAGAGACTGGAGAAATCTGCTGAATACATTTCAAGGCTGCCATGAGCTGTCGTCAGTTCCCTCAGTACCTGACTACTATTTTCTATAGCCCAAAAATGTTTTATTCTTGTTCTTTGCCAAATTACTTTGCAGTAATTGTAAAAATGCCTTCTTATATGGGCAAGTATCAGTTGTAGTGTCTTAGCCAGAG